TATATAGGTTTGCAATATTTAAACCTGATTGTCAATAATAATAATAATAATAATAATAATAATAATAAAATACCTCAAAGTTCAAACAATAAAAGAAAAAAAAACAGGTTGAAGATGAAAAAAAAAAAAAAAACAAAATCTAATCTAATCTCCTGGAATCGTTTTTTTTTTTTTTTTCTATAGGAAAAAAAAAACTTGCTTTATTTATTATTATTATTATTATTATTATTATTATTATTATTATTATTATTATTATTATTAATATTATTATTATTATTATATTTCAATGATCTTCGATATTGCCAACAAGTTCAGAATCGTTAAACCTGAACCTGATCAGTTATTTCTAGTTTCAAAAAAAAAAAAAAAAATATCATTTTGTCAAATATCTACACAAAATTATTATTATTATCATCACTATCATTATTATTATTATCATTATTATTATTATTGAAAAAAAGAGGAGAAGAGAAAAAAAAATTATTTAAAACAAGTTATTTTATTTTATTTTGAATGCCAACATTGAATAAAAAAAAAACAGAAAATAAATAAATATTTTTTATTAATTTATTACTAATCCCGTATATTGATATTCGAAATGATAATAATAATAATGATAATAATGATAATGATGACAATAATAATAATAATAATAATAATGATTTTTTTTTACTTATTCAAATTATTATTTATAATTGTTATTGAAATCATTTAGGTTAGTCGTAGGATGATTTTAAATTACAAAAAAATTTTCTTTTTATTTATATATTATTTTCTGAACCTGTTTTCTTATTTATATTAAATAATGTAACAATCGATAAGTAAATAAGAATGCAAACAAACGACAAACGACAAACATTTAAAAAATTTTTTTTTTGCTCAGTATCATTATTAACGCAAAAAAAAAAATTAAATTTTCCGAATTATTTTTTTTTTTATTATTATTCGGATTTAATCCTCTTTTCTTTTTTTAAACCGAAAAAAATTTTGTCGTTATGATGATAATAATAATAATAACAAATAATTTTCTTTTTGCAAAACGTTTTAAACGTCGGATTTTTGTTAACAACAATTTTTATATTTTAAACAAATTTTATTTATTTATTTTATTAAAAAATTTGCAACGAGTGCGTTCAGAAACCAATTTTTTTGTTTATTTTATTGTATTACTAACGTTTTTATTTTTATTTTTTTCATAAAATTTATTTATTTATGAAAATTTATGAAACGTATAAATTTACGAACGTAATAATAATAATAATAATACATAAAAATTTTGTTTAGAAAAAAAAAAAAAATGAATAAATAAGTAAATTTGGTTTTTCATTTGACGTAGAAATTCAGATTATAAATTATAATTTTTTTTATAAATTGATTATGCTGTTAATGGTATATTATTTGGAAACGAGTTTTTCTTAGAATAAAAAAATCATTAATTTGTATATTTTTAAACGTATCCGACGTTTAACGATAACAACGATTTTTTTTTATTAATTATTGATGGGTTACGGAAAACTCGAATAATTTTACGCGTGCGTTTGCGTAAATACGCGTGCGTACTTCATATAAATAATTTTCTTTTTATTATTATTATTATTATTTTCGTTTAAAATGAATTTTTGTAGTAAACATTGATTCCAGACTGGCTATAAATATTTAAAATCGTTTTTTTTTTTTTTTTCCAAACCTTTTTTAGATGTTTTAAAAAATCTCAATGGAATACATATTTTATTTGATTGACTGGGATTTCCATAAGGGAAATATCGACTCGTTAATTTTTTTTACATTTCGTGTAGATGTCTCTGAATATAAAAAAAAAAAAAAAAAAAAGAAAAACGCGGGAGGCGGAGCTTGTGAGTAACCAATACAGCGCAAGACGTTTCCACCGCCTTGTCGAATTTTTATCACATGGGCATGTTTTAAAAATATTTTTCCCCCCTTTTTTCTTTTTTCCTTTATTTATTATTATTATTTTTTTTTTTTTGCTTCGGTTTTTTTTTTTTTTTGCGAAAAAAAAACTAAAATCTAATGAAAAGTAATTTTTTTTTAAAAATAATAATTAAAATAATTATAATAAACAAAAAAAAACACGTGACGATATTTATTGTCTTCTGCTTCTTAAAAAAAAATTTTTTTTTCCTCTTTAATCATTATTGAAGAGTTTTAATGCGTTTTTTTGTTTGATTTTTTTACTTTTTGGGTAAGAAAACATTTTAAAAAAATTTTTTATTTAATTAATGTCATTTCACGCGTAAATATCGATTATTTTAAAAATCGATACATCGGATCGAAACCCTCTCCTCCCCCACCCCCCAAAAAAAATAAAACGAAAAAAAATCGATAAATGTAAATTTTATTTATTTAATATTTAAAAAAAATTTTTTTTATTCGATTTAAATTTAAATTATTTATTTATTATTAAAAAAAAAAAAAAAAAAAAAAACCTTCTGCTAATAAAAAATTTAAAACATGATGATGACGATGATGATGATGATGATGATATTCACGGCACGTTTTATAAAAGAAAATCCTTTTTTTGTGTGTGTGTGCGTGTGCGTGCGCGTACGTATTCAAATGATACCTGAAACTTAAAAAAGTTGTTTTTTTTTTTTTCTTTAATTTGTTATTATGATCAAGTGATTAAAAAAAATTTTTTTTTTCAGTAGCCGTGTTCATTGGGGCTTAAAAAGAATTAGATTAACCCACCGAAACGTCGACATTTTTTTTTTTTTTCAATCTTAAAACAAATACATAAATGACAACACATTACATAAAAAAAAAAAAAATTTTTATTAAAACGTGAATAACGTTTTATTAAAAAGGATTTTTATTTAAAGTATAAAAACAAAAAATAAAATTTTATTATTTAAAAAAAAAAACCTAAAATCTTATTTTTTTATTAAAAAAAAAATGTCGCAAATGAAAATAATAATAATAATAAATAAAACCGGGGGCGGCGGCGCGGGGGAATCGACTAAATAAATAATTATTATTTATTAAATGTTGCAAAGTTTTTTTTTAAACCTTTAATTATAAATAATAATAATAATAATAATGATGATGATTTCAAATAAAACGAAATAAAAAATAATTAAAAAAAGGAAAATTTTTATTTACAGAAAAAAGGCGGCTGAGTCTGTGTGTTGGATGTGGGGCTCAAATTCACGATCAATACATATTAAGGGTGGCACCAGATCTCGAATGGCATGCGGCCTGTTTAAAATGTGCCGAATGCCATCAATTTCTTGACGAAAATTGTACGTGTTTTGTTAGAGATGGTAAAACATATTGCAAAAGAGATTATGTGAGGTAAGTAATTGATTTTATTTAAACAAAAAAAAAATGACCGTTAGTAAAATAATAATAATGATAAATCATATATATATTGAAAATTTTCCCTTGAATTCAGGGCTAATAATTTCGCTCCCAACCCCCTCTCCTCTCCCAAAAAAAATATATACCTATAATGATATTATAAAATTGTTTTATCATAAAAAACAAACCCAACAACAACAGCAACAACGACAACAAACTTTTAATAAAATTTTAATAAAATAATTAAATTAATATTAATTAAACGATTCGATATTATTTATTTCACATAATTATATTATTTTAATATAAATATTTTCCTCCATAATATAATGATTTCGATATATGAAAAAGAAAATAATATTCGTTTTTTATTTTTATTATTAATATAATTTGTTTCTTATTATTATTATTATTATTAATATTATCAAGTCTTGTTGATATATATATTATATAAAATATATTGATTTTTCGGATATATTATATTTTAAAAGGTTTGTTTATTTTGTTTTTGCGTTTTAAAATATGATAAGGTTTAATTTAAAATAATATATTCTATAGAGAGAGCAAGAGAGATTAATTTGTTTTAGTTAAAAGAGTAATAAAATACAATGAAATTTATATATAATATTTTAGTATAAGTAATAATAATAATAATAATAATAATAATAATACTGATATTTAGCTGATGCGGTTAAATTCCATCAGGAAGGAATGTATGTATATATCCTCGTTAGATTTGAATTTTTTTTTTTTTGTTAGAATCGAATATTTAATATATTCACGATTTTAGTATTATTATTATTTGTTGTAAAAAAAAAGACGACAGAGAGCGTTAAATATATATATAAAAAAGGGGGGAGGGAGGGGAAGAGAAAGAAGGAAAATGAAAAATAATATTTTTATTTTTTTTTATCATACAGCAAAAACGGATGTTTATGCTCAGGGGGGTCCTTGACAGATGGAAGGTAATGTGCCAGGGAAAATCAAACAAAACTTTTAAGGGTTACATGAAAGAGAGAGAGAGAGAGTGAGTGAGTGAGAGAGGAGAGAGAGAGAGTCCGTCGGTTTAAAAAAATTTTTTTTTTTTCTACAATATAGAATTACAAGAACCACACATTCGGACCACCCTGCGTTTATTATTTTTATTCATCATCTATTTTTTTTTTTTTTTTTCGAAAATTTCTTGGCAATATAACTAAAAAAAAAAAAAATTCATTTAAAAAGCCAAAATGATTTTTATCCAAATAAAAATTTTTATAATTTTTTTATATTTCCAGATTATTCGGGACCAAGTGTGATAAATGCGGGCAAAGTTTTAGTAAAAATGATTTTGTTATGAGAGCAAAAACAAAAATATATCACGTGGATTGTTTTCGGTGTACGGCTTGCGAAAGACAATTGGTTCCCGGTGATGAATTTGCATTAAGAGAAGATGGACTTTTTTGCAAAGAAGACCACGAAGTACTCGATAAATCATGTACGGGAGAACATAATAATAATAATACAAATGTAAATAATAACAACAGTAATAGTGTACATAACGAAGGATCCAATTCTGGTAAGTTTATTATTATTATTATTATCATTAACAAAAATTCTCACACCACGTGTTACGTAAAACGATCCTCCAAAAAATTATTTATTTATTTAAAACATCCCGTCAAAATAATTAATTAAAAAAAAATAAACAAAATGTTATTAACATTAAATAAATAAATAAATAATTAAAAACATTTTAATAACCCATAAGAATTAAATGAATGAAAAATTAATAATAATAATAATAATTTTTTTCTATATTTTAAACGGAAAGTGATAAAATTTAAATAAATTAATTCGCAAGAGCATCATCACTATTATCATCGTCATCGTTAGTTTTTTTTTTTTTTTGGGGGGGGGAAAGGATTTCGTTTGAATTTATTATTATTAATATTATTATTATTATTAGTTTTAATGACAAAATGAAATGGACGACGCGAGTGATAAAATAAATCTAAAATCGAAAAAAAAATTTTTTTTTATTTTAAATTTTTTAAATCCCTCGAGAGGTCAAAAAATATAAAAATGGCGTCGACGCGAAAATTTAAAAAAAAAAAAAAACGAAAAAAAAAGTAGTTACTAATTAAGGAAAGTCTTTTGCACGTGCTGCTGCTGTTGCTGTTGTTGTTGTTGTATTGGGAACGGCCCTTTTACACTTGCTTTTAACAAGATTAAAACGCGGGTGGTCGATATATACGCACGCACGCACGCATCCACCCACCCACGCAGGCAACCATCATTCACCACGCATAAGGGTTGATATTATATTTATAAGGGTGGAAAATTTCACGTGTTAATTATTATTATTATTATTATTATTATTATAACATTTTTTTTGTTTTTTTCCTAACGATAATGTTTTTCTTTTTACGTGAAACGATTATTTGATAAAGATATAGAAATTATGGTAAGGTATTAAAAAAAAAAAAAAAGGAAAAGTTAGAAGGAGAAGAAAGAAAGAGGAAAAAAATGAAGAAAGATAAAAAAGGATAGAAAAAGAGAAAAAGAGAGGGAAACAAAATATTATTTTCTTACTTGCTTATCATAAGTTGAAATTTTTTTTTTGAAAAAAAAAAAAATTTTCTTCTTCCTTTTTTTTTCTCTTCCTTTTTTTTTTTGTTTCCTCTTTGTGATCAATACAAAAATGGCGGCTTCTCTTCGCCTCAAAAAAAATAAAAAAAAAAAATTTTTTTTATTCGTTTGGATCCCCTCGATGTATAAAAAAAAAAAGGGGGAGATTTTTTTTTTTTTATACACTTTTAAAAAATTTTTTTTTTTTTTTTTGCAAAATTTTATGACGTAATCAAACCCCCCCTAAAAAAAAAATCTTTAATTTACGGCCCAAAAAAAATGATGATGATGATGATGTAAAATTTTTTTTTATTCGAGTTTTTAAATATTTTTCATGGGAGAAAGTAAAAAAAAAAAAATTTTCAATTTGTCGTTTTTCCAACGTTTTCCATGCATGTTTTCTTATGTGCCTGTTTAACACAAAGATTTGATCCATCTTTGTACTGTTGTACCTTGCACAAAACCATTCGATACCAAAACCTCGATTCCTTTCCATCTTTAAACCTTAAATTAATATTTAAAAAAAAAATTATTTACATAATTGGTATAAAAGTTAAGGGATAGAGAAAAACTACCTTTAAATTATTAACAAAACAGCTGACGACGAGAGATTATTGACGAAGCACTTGAATTACATTGTGTGACCCTCGCCATAAGACTAAAAAAATCAACAAAAAAAAAATTTTTTCGAATTCGAAAACAAATAAAAAGAAAAGAAAAAAAAATGTTTAAAGGAATTATCTGAATTGATCAAATATTGACTACAACAATTCGATAACAAAAAAAAAAAGGTTTCGGAAAATAATCATCAAAGAACGCGGTTTTTTCCTATGTGACGTCACCGTAGCAGACGACGACGACGACGACGACGACGGACGGACGACGAACGTTTTAAATTTTTTTTTTTTTGGGGGTTTTTCGTCGTCACGGTTGATCGATTGATTATTTGATTTTTTTTTTTGTTTTTCTTTCGTCTTTTCATTGTTTTAAATTATTTAATAGAGTCTAGTCTAGTCTAATCTACTCTAGTCTTGTCTAGTTTTAGGGTTTAAGGATTATATTAAAATAAAATTATTAAAATCTGTTTTTAATTAGGGTGAAATAAAAAAAAAAAAACTTTTGAAAAGTGACAAGTTTTGATGCTACCGATTTTCATCATTTTGATATACATAAATATGCCCTCCCCCTTCCTTCCCCCCGCCCCCACCATCCGATTTATGAAATTAATCTGTTTTCTTGTACAATTTGAATTTTTTAAATATACTTCTGAACAATTTTTTCTCTCTATCTTTTTTTTTATTGTTCAGAATTAATCCTAAAAAAAAAAACTTGATTTTTTATTGGTGGCATTGGTTGGAGGTGATGTGACGGTGGAGGAAAAGGAGGTTGTTGTTGTTGTTGATGTTTGTCGCAGTTCCTTTTCGTTTCGAGTCATCATAACAAAATTTTTAATTTTATTTTTTTTCTTTTTTTTTTTCTATTGACACGTTTTTTTATTTCGATTATCGGAGTTTGGCTTTTGAAAATTCTTTCGTAAAAGGTGAAAATGTTTTTTGTTTTCTCTCTCTCTCTCTCCCTCGTGAAATAAATAACGATAGGTGAAGAAATAAGAAGAAGGATAAGTCCAAATTAATAATAATAATAATAATGATAATAATAATAACGGAAATGTAATAGGAGATATTTTTTTTTGTCGAAATCGAACCGAGTGAAATTTTTCTCAAAAAGATGAGTAAACTATGGAAGGACAATATGTGTGCGTAGAAGGGTGGCCATCATCATTATCATCATCATCATTGAACATCCTTTCACAGCATCCCTTTTCCCAGCATCTTTCAACTTCATGCCTTTTTCACGATTCCCCGGATTTTTATCGCCCAATGTAAACAGTTTATTGCAACTTGATGTTGGAAAAAAAAAAAAATACTTCCCTACTCTCTCTCTTTCTTTATCTATCTATCTCTTTCTCTCTCGTTTATTTTTTTTTTTGAACATTTTATTTTTGGAATCTATAAAAAGGAAAATACGGGTTAAGTTAACGAAAAAAAATGGATTTGTTGATGGGAAAGGACAGGCGAAGGAGCGTTTAAGGATGGGGGAGAAGGAGGAGCAGGGGGAGGTAAAAGAGTCGGTCGGTTAACTTTAGAAGAAGGCATAGCTGGTACTTTATCGGAAGCAGTTTTAAATTTCTTTAAAAGCAAGGTAAACATCTAAAGAAAAAGAAAAAAGAAAAAAAAAACCGACTTTTGTTTAATGTCAAACAAAAGCGCATTTTTTTTCCTTCTTCTTCTTCTTCATCTCCAAAAGTTTATTTTCCAGAAATAAAAAAAAAAAAAAAAAAAAAAAAAAAAACAGCAGAAAAAAAATTTTTTTTTTCTTCTTATAATAAATGATTCTTCATGTTTTATTCTTTTTTTCCTTTTCTGTTTGTTTGTTTGTTTGTTTGTACCACGTTTTTTTTTTTATGTTATAATAATATAATGAAAAGTCGAAAAAAAAATTTTTTTCTTTTTTCCCTTTTTATTTTCTTTTTTTGACTTTTTTTCTTTTTCTCTCCCCTCCCTCCATCCCTCCCTTCCATTTTTATTTTCGTGGGGAGATTTTCCCGAAAAGAAAATATTTTCTTCTTTTACTTCTTCCTATAAATTTTACTTTATTTTATTTTTTTTTTTTGTTTGTTTGTTTGTTTTCCTTTTTTTTATAAATATTTTTTTTTTTTAGTTTGATAACAAAAAATCTTTATTTTAATCTATTTATTAAAAAATAATAATAATAATAATAATTTATTTAAGTACATAAATAAATAAATAAATTTGATGCATTCATTCTTTTGTAGTAGTAGTAGTAGTAAAAGCGTAGTAATAATAATAATAATAAAAGATGAAAGACAAAAGGTTTATGATCGTTTATTGTTTGAAACATCTTTTAAATCCTTTAAAACTGACCGAGTAGTATCCTCCCTCCCTTCCCAACACGAGAGAGAGAGGGTAGATTTAACTTCAACCCTTTCATGTCCGACGGTCCATTAGTAAATTAACTCATCATCATCATCATCATCATCATCATCACTTTGCTAACTAGGATTTCGTTCGTAGAATTTTACCTTTTACTGAGTTTTTGTTTGTCCGAGTTAAGCCTTTTGAAAATTCCAAGCAAAGAGAAAGAGAGAGAGAGGATTAAACCTTTGGGCTACTTTCGGTCCCTCCTTTTTACCTTCTGCTCCCCTCCCTCCCCACGAAACCCTCTTGCCTTTTTTTTTGTTAACTTCGTCAGGTAACGAAACAAAAACTTTATTATGCGTGCGCACGAACGAAAAAAAAAATGTCGTAGTAATTTCTTTTTTAATTTTTTTTGTCCGTTTTTGAACAAACAAACAAACAAACAAACAAACAAACGAACGAACGAATAATAATAATAATAATTACGATTATTATTTGAGGATTAAAAAACTTAATAAATTGTTTATTAATAATAATAATTTTTTTTTAATTTCCTTTTCTTAAATTGTTTGATCTGGTTTTTTTTTTTTTTTTTTTTTTTTTTTGCATCCCCTAAAATAAAAATATTGAATGAAATCATTCTTATATTAATATTGTCTTCTGCTAACGCCCTTCTAACGCCCTTTTAATGTGTGCCCTTCTATTGCATTCAAATCGATGTGCAATGAACACCCTCATTGTTTTCTTTTTTTTTTTTTTTTGTCATAACAAACGCACAACCGTTTCGAATTTTTTTTTTCCTTTTCTATGATTACGATCGAATTGTTGTTAAATCTTTATTATTATTATTATTTTTAATTATTATTTCTTCTTTTTTTCCAGGGGTGTTATCCATTTTTTTCTTTCCAATAAACGTATTTGATTGAATTTGTTGAAAAGAGAGAGTGAGAAAAATCAATAACCATTTATAATATAAAAAAAGAAAACTGTTGATTTAAATTATTATTATTATTATTATTATTATTATGTAAGGGGATGTATTAGTGTTTTAGAAAATTCATTTTTCCAGGTTTTTAAATTTGAATTTTCCTGGAATTTTTAAGTTTCTCTGATGGGGAAACAAGTTTTTCTCGGTTTATGCTTATTTTGTGCTTTTTTTTTTTTTTAAATTTTTCTCTTTTAGAATTTTGTTTGTTTTTTGGTTTGACCGACAAGCAACAACAACAACATCCGTTTGTTTTATTCACATTATTCCAATCAAATTTTTTTTTCTATCTAAATTTTTCAACACTTTGGTGTTTTTTTTTCGAAATTTTATCAACGCCATTTTAAAAAATCTATTCTTTGACTACTACTAACTATATCCGGTTGGTTGTTCACAATTTCATATAAACATATAATCGTTTGTCGTATAAAAATTGTATAAAAAATCTTCTCTCTAATAAAAACCGGATACGGTTATTAAATATTTTCAAAAATAGATTTTCAAACGGAAATATTTACAAATTTTTGTTTTCCGTTTTCATGCACTTCGGGGAAAAATCAATTAAACAATCATTTCCGATTGTTGTAAATATAATTTTTTTTTGTTTCCATATATATCGACGCATCTTTTTTTTTTTTTTGTCTTCTTCCAGGATTTTATAAATTTAATAGATTTTACATGGAACAGATTGAAAAAAAGGCAAAAGTTTTGTTTCACGTATAAAAACAAAGCAACAACAAACGAAAAAGATAAAAATTATTTGTGGAAAAAACAACATACAACCTAAAACTCAAATATTGATTTATTGTCATCCACGTCGTCGTCCTTGTTTCTTTCTTTTTTTATCTTACATTTAATATATATTCTTCTCCAGAAATTTTTTCCAGAAAAAAAAAAAAAAAACAAAAAAAAATTTTTTTTAACGGATTAAGATTTGAATAATTTTTTTTTTTTTTGAAACTTTTCTTCGTTAATGTGATTTATCCATTCCGTTTTTCAAATTTTCAGTTAACAATAGAGAAAAAGAGAGAGAGTGAGAGAGAGAGAGATAGAAAAAGGAACAATTGAGTTGTTCAGGTTATGAATGGTTAACTTCACGGTTTGATGCGTTTAATTCAATGTGTGCAGATGATGTCCGATTGTGTGTGTCCCATTTTTTTGCCTACTGTTCGAAAAAGACATTTTTTTTTTATGTTCTTCCCCTCCCCCACCCCATCCCACTCCTCCTCCCGGTATGACATATCGACTATTAAACAAACCCCTGGACAATTTCAAACAAACAAACAAACTAAACTTTGGAAAGCTGGAAAAAAAAATTTTTTTTTTGTTTTGTTTTCATCGTCGTATAGTAAAACGTCGATTTAAATAAATGACGTCATTAAAAGAGGTTTTCCCGTACTAATAATAATAATAATAATAATAATAATAATAATAATGAGGAGTATTAAATAAAATTTTCTTTTTTTTTTTTATCGTGTTTTAAATTTTGTTGTTGTTGTTGTGAGTTGCTCTGCGGTCGCGGGAACAAATAAACCACCATCAATAAATTTTATTAAAGGTGAAAACCTCCTCTATCGATGATTATTATTATTATTATTATTATGATAGACACAGTAGATGATGATGATGATGATGGAATAAGAAATTAAATTCCAAAATAATGTGTCATTATAACTTAAAAAAAAAAAAAAAAACTCGAATTAAGTAATTTAGTCGGATGTTTCTTTGTTAAAAAATGTCGGTACCAGTAGTGCCGCCGCGGATTAATTTTCTATATTATATGATTTCTTTATTGCGCTCTTAAATGTTTCCTTTTTTTTTTCTTTTTTGTTCCACGGGTTTCCATATTCTTTTTTTTTATATTCCTTCTATTTTTGTGTTTTACTGCTTTCGTATCAACCAAGTGCGAAAGTCAGGTACGTGCCGACGATTCTTTTCTTTTGATTACTACCATGATGATGATGATGATGAAAAAAAAAAAATTTCTTCCTTTTAATGGTTTTTTTTTTTTTCATATAAAGATTATTATTATTATTATTATTATTATTATTATTTATTACTCGATTTGTAATAAATTTTTATATATATATATATCGTTTTATTATCGTTGTTATTATTGTTATTATTATTATTATTATTATTATTATTATTAAATGTTGTTACTCGTACGTCCGAAGAAGAAAAAATAATGAAAAAATTTCGACTTCGGTTTTTTTTTTTGGGGGGAAGGAGGTGGGGAGATGGGAACAGGTAATGATGGTAATTATTATTATTAATATTATTATTATTACTATTTACAGATTCGTCGGAATCGGGTTCGAATAAAGGTAGAGATAGCGGAAGCTGTAGATCGAGCGGAGGAACAAATAAAGTTTCATCCGACGGAAAACCGACGAGAGTGAGGACCGTCCTTAATGAAAAACAATTACACACGCTTCGTACCTGTTACGCGGCAAATCCTCGACCTGATGCTCTTATGAAAGAACAATTAGTTGAAATGACAGGTTTAAGTCCGAGAGTGATTCGCGTTTGGTTTCAAAATAAAAGGTGTAAAGATAAAAAAAGAGCAATATTAATGAAACAGCAATTGCAACAGGAAAAAGTAAGGAAAATTCATTGAAATTTTTTATGAATTAATTTTTCCAAAAATGAAAAGGAAAATAATTTTATTATAAAATTTTTCAGGATGGTAGAAAATTAGGTTACGGTGGAATGCAAGGTATACCAATGGTAGCATCGAGTCCTGTAAGACACGAAAGTCCTCTCGGTCTTAATCCAATAGAAGTACATTCTTATCAACCTCCTTGGAAAGCTCTGTCGGATTTTGCATTGCATACGGATTTAGACAGGCTTGATCCGGCAGCTCCGCCATTTCAACATTTGGTCAATCAGGTAAATTTTTTTAATTTAAATCCGCCTCCTCCCCACCAATCATTTCCATCGACGTTAACAAATCCCACTTTTATCTCGTCCGTGTCGTAATAAAAATTTTTTAAATATTATTATTATCATTATTTTTTTTTTGTCTTTAAAACAAATACAACGAAAAACAAAAAAACCTGTTTTGTTAAAAAAAATTACCGTAATAAATCTTATTAATTCGCATTAAATTATAATTTTACACAATTTTAACACGTATTTTCCAAAAAACTCAAACCACGACGTAAAAAATTATTCCAGGTTTTTCAAAACTCATTCCTACAGTTTATTATTATTATTAATATTATTATTATTATTATTTTTTACGACCGTGAAAAAATCAAAACGATTCACGAAGTGTAAAAAAAAAAAAAAAAAAAAAAGTAAGTAACGCGGGAGTAATAAATTTTTTTTTTTTTCTCGTTTAGATGCACGGTTACGATATTCATGGACCACCATCACATCACGATTTAGGACCCCCACCAAATGACGTAGGACATCCAGATTCAACAGATTCATATGTAACGTACCTGGAAAGTGATGATGATCACGACGGTTCGAGTCCTTAATGAACAGAAACAAAAAAAAAATTTTATCTTTTATCTGTATATAATAATTAATATTTTCCACCTATTATTATTATTATTATTATTATTATTATTATTATTATTATTATTATTATTATTATTATTATTATTATTATTATCATTATTATTATTATTTTATTCACACCAATTTTTTTTTTGTATCCTGGGAATTTAAGTACTCAACACTTATATACATGCATAAATATTACAAAAAAAAATTTCTATTTTTTTATTGATTAAAGTAAATCAGTTTAGAAACTTGTCATCCCTACCGTTTCTCCCCCCGCATTCTTCCCCCTCCTTTCCTCTTTCCCCCTCCAAAAGAAAAATTTAGTTTTTTTTTTTTTTTCATTAACCGATATCCGTTTGTTCATATTAAAATTATTGTATATAAATATATATTACAAATATTATACATAATTGATACTTTTTCCTTTTTTTTTCTATCATTATTATTATTATTTTATTGGTAAACGTTCGTGACAAAAAAAAAAAAAGAACTGAATGAAAAATTTTATGATGTTTTTACGTACAATAATAATAATAATAATTAATAATAATAATAATAATAAAGTTCTTAAATAAATCATTAAAAAAAAATAATAATAATTTTTTTTTTTTAATTATCTTATCTGGCTGCTTTTCTTTTTTTTTTTTTTAACCCAGGAGAAATGCAATTCGCACTAACCCCCCCCCCCCGGTACCAGGAAGAGTGTGGGGGGACTCAGCCGAAGCTACTACCCAACTACAACTCCTGGATGTGTTTCGCTACGCTTTTTTTTTCCTGGGAAGGAGGGGCGGTCGCAGGAGTATTACCCGCATTTCAATCTCAACCCCCCCCAAAGCCGGAATCATCAGATTTGCACTCACGAGGGGGGGAGCGGATTCCCCACCGGCGTAGCCGCCGCAGAGATCCGCTCCACCCAATTGGGATACCCCCATCAACCATCTGGGAGGCATTCCCGAAGTTTTACTTTTGCTCCAGCCACCCATACTACACATATACAATTTAATACAGTATTCATCTTATAGTGAAACCTTTCTCCTTCCTCCGAATAACCGTTTCCGCGAAGGGCGAGGTCGCGTACCACTCCCTGGAACCGCAAAGGAGACCCTCCACCAGTCCTCTGATGGTCAGGTCCCCCCCAATAACTTGAGCGAGGCGTCGCCTGCCATCGGCCCATCTCGGGCGCTCCGAAAGCGTGTGACCGACATCGTCCTCAAGCGCCTCGCAGAACCAACACTCCGTTGTTTCTTCTTTGCCAATGCGCGCAAGGTACGAGCAAAAGACAGCGTGTCTCGTTAATAATTGCGTGAGCCGAAAGGACATCGCTCCATGCTCACGCCCCACCTATTCAGGTAACTACGAACCCAGCACGCGTACGACTTCCCCCCATAAAGTTTGCGGCCGTCCTCGAGCCGCATCCGTCATGTCTCGAGGACGTTTCCCGTACAAATTTACGAAGCGCGTCCCTCTTTGATCTTAATATTTGTCGGAGCTTTTTCAACATTTATTCAAGGTTCTACCCAATACCTAAGGAATAAATGCCTGAATATCAGTGAAGCTGCATGCCTGATGAATAAGTTTTGTCTAGTTATAACCTATGACACCACAACAATTCTTGTAAGTCTAACTGAGACCATTTTATTTGTTGGAAACAAGTTATTTCCTATACTGGGCTCCAGTGACTGACCTCTGTGGAGTGGTCAGGAACAGGAAAAGTGAGATTCACAACCTTGTCAAGAGCTGACTCAGGTCGACAGTCGAACAAGATTTGCCTTTTGGTTCTGTCTTTATCTTGTTCTCATTTTGCTCTATTACAATTATAAATCAGTCATCATATACTGATACGTCGATCATCGGTTCCTTTCTCTCAGAGAAGAATATCTTGTACGAGAAACCGGGTGGAAGGACGGAAAGGGGGACGTGTTCTGTGGCGTGCCCAGGGATTGATTTTAGTACCACTCCTGTGGAACATCGCCTACGACGGCGTCCTCACCCGGACCGTTCTTCCCGAAGGCGTACCGTTACGACTTATTACGCCGACGACACCTTGCTTTTCGCGACCGGTCGCGGGTGGGCGGAGATTCGCGAACGCGCGGAAACGGGAGTTTTTGCTACGGTGGAGGACATCCGGGGTATCGGACTCCGGATGTTTCTGCCGAAAACGAAAGCGTGCGGGTTTCATTTTCCGCGAAACCCGCGACCTCGTTGTCTTGTCGAATTTTTTTCGTTCATTCATTGTGTTTTTTTTGTTTGTTTCGATTGTTTAGAGAGGAACACTCGACATTTTATTCAAGCGAACGCGTCATCATAAGGCTTCGATATACTGCAAGGCGTGGACTCCGATAGACCTCATGGCAACGGGAGGCAACGACAAAACGGTCAAACTCATGAAATTCAATCCGGAAACGTCGAATCTCGAGGGTCAAGAAATGGAATTGTCCGTGCACGACGGAACGGTGAGAGATTTGTGCTTTCTAGAAGACACGTCGAGCAAATCGAGTTTGCTCATAAGCGGCGGAGCGGGAGGTTGTAAAATTTACGTCACTGATTGTGCCACGAGAAGTCCGTACCAAGCTCTCGCGGGTCACGGAGGACACGTATTATCATTGTACAACTGGGACGGAGCCATGTTCTTATTCGGAAGTCAAGATAAAACGGTTCGATTTTGGAATTTGAGAGTACGCGGATGCGTTAACATGGTTAACATGGTCACGGCTCCCGGAAACAGGGTAAAAAAAAATTTTTTTAGCGTCAAGAACTCATTTCCGGCGTTCGTTGTTTTGATGAATACAAAAATCTACAACCGGAAAATTAATTAATTTTTGTTTTTACTACGATTTCAGGGTTCACCTGTTGCTGCCGTTTGCGTCGATCCATTCGGACGACTCCTGGTATCCGGACATGATGATTCCTCGTGCGTTTTGTACGATATTCGCAGCGGGAGAAACGTTCAATGTTTCAAACCTCATTCGTCAAACATAAGATCGATAAGGTTTTCACCGAGCGCTTATTACCTGCTGACCGGAGGATATGATAACAAACTCGTGTTGACGGATTTACAAGTTTTTTATTATTATTATTACTGTTAACGTCGTGACCATAATGATGAATGATGACGTAATTAATAAGTTTTTTTTTGTTTCCAGGGGATTTGACGTTGCTGCTTCCCAGCGTCGTCGTCGCTCATCACCAAGACAAAGTTATTTCCGGAAGGTGGCATCCGGCAGAATTTTCATTTTTGAGCACGAGCGCCGACAAGACGTGAACTCTGTGGGCTTTACCCCCACCATTTGAAACCACCGTAAAACATGAATATGAAATAATGTTTTCTCTCTCTCTCTCTCTCTCTCTCTCTCTCTCTCTCTCTCTCTCTCTCCTCACGTAAGCTCTCTTAAATTTGTAAATATAATTATTATCATCATCATCATCGCCCCACCGAATTCTCGGGCTGTTGTACTCATCGTCATGGAATTTTTCAAAACCTGAAAATAATTTTAAAAAGAAAAGAGCATCGTAATATCATATTCACCATCTAGTCAGAAATTTGTAGAATTAATTTTCTTATTATCGGAAAAGTGTCATCGCCACTAACCAAACGAACGCTTTTAGCGCTTTTCGGCAATAAAATATAAATGAAAGACGAAGAATTGGAGGAAATCGTTAGCTAGAGCATGAAAAAGAGAAAAAGGTCGGAAAAACCGGGAGGGAAAAAAAAACGGGAACGTGTTCGTATATATATATACATAAATTTGTAAATTTTTTCGTTAGGTTGTCACACGGATCGAACGCCAGAACGCATCGAACGTCGTCGCGCGCGAAATCCAAAAGTTTTTCTATTTTATTTTTTATGTTTCGTTTTCAGCAGTTATTATCACAAAAAAAAATGAGGTAGTGGCAGGGGAGTAGTGGGGGCCGGGAGTTAGTGGCGTGCTCCTGTAATCCAGCTACTTGGAGGCCGGGTGCAGCAGATGACTCTGATCGTGTAATTCGGATCCTACTTGTTGCTCATTGTTTTAAAACGGTCGGCGGGAGCACCTCGGGGTCCCACCTAGTGTTTTCGTCGGCCAACAGGGTAATTAGAGATCATTTTTCTCATTCAAGAATCATAACATATAATTTGTCGGTAGGATAGGATATTATTTGTAGGTAGTCCCTTAGGGCACCAAGGAACCATAAAACATACTGGCAAAAACAGTGAAAAAAAAAAAAATCCTTACCAATGAATATGGATAAATCAAGAACTCCTGCTATATCCTTTATTAATGAAGACAAAATCTGCGTAGGCAAAAAAAAAAACCTGGACATTTAGAGGATTTGTTACTTTAGGAAAAAGAACAATGAACGACGGGAAAAATACTATTATAACATATTTTGCCATATTTTTAGTGTGAAATTCTATTTTAATTTTAATTTGAAGGTAGAAATAGCTCGGGGGGTCTTCGTGCGGGACGCTGGCCATTAGGGGTACGCCCTTTCGTTGGGGAACCGAAACTGGTAGGATGACTGGTAGGATGGGGGGAACCTCCGCGTGCCAGCCGGGAACGAACGGCTCCGCCAGTAGCTCTCGGTAGGCATGGGGAAGTTTCTCCAAATTAATTTAAACAGGTGCAGGGGGCTCAGGACCTTTTGCTAAACTTGATAGGGACGTGGAGCATCGAAGTCGCGATGATCTTGGAGCCTTACGTCTTTCCGTCAGGGGGAGGGGGTCGTCGCGCCGGTACTCGGTTCGCATCCGAGGTCGGCGTGGCCGCGATACTATTCTCGAGCTCGGTCAAAACGCCGAGGCCTCGAGAGCTGTCCCGGGGAGAGGGTTTCGTTCTGGTGGGATGGGGAGACACGGTAATGGCGTCGGTTTACGCGTCGAGCGCAAGCGGCCGAAATACTGGTGGACGGACGAGATAGGGTCGGTTCGGGGATAGGAAACGGGAACTCCTCCGCCGTGGAGGACATTACAAAGAAATCGTGACCAACGCAATTTTGCGTTTTTACTCGATGGTAAGTAGGTAGAACGCGGATGAAACAACAGAAAATTTTTATAAACTTTTTACATTTGTCTTTACTAATTGTTATTATTTTTTTTTTCTTTCATTTAGGAAAGGACCAGTAAAGACGAGCCGGTACATTCAGTAGTGACAGTATCAGACAGCGAAACAAGATGATGTCTACCTTTTGGAGAGGAGAGGAGAGGTGCAAAACAACTTGACAAAAACGTTTCTGTTATATTTTCAAATAATTTAAATAATGGCTACAATTTCGTTTTGGAAAAAAGTACGAAAAAGCGAGAAGGCAAGAAGGGGAATGAGGAAGGAACGGAGGGAGGGAAAGGCGAGAAAGAGGAATAATTAGAAAAAATCAGGTTCGGTTGTTTGTCGTCATAGAAGGGACCTCGTTTTAAACCTGTAATTAAATTTTGAGTGATGATTGAACGTTTGATTTATATTTGGCCACATTTATATTATATACATATATATGTATAAAATATATGTATGTATATTTTTCTTAATCGTGACACATAAACTACTAAATTTGCCACAAACGATTATTAAGTTTTCCGTTTTTTTTTTTTCAAATTTATAATGATGATAATAATAATAATAATAATATTTGTATTTATTCTCTGTATTACAATATATGTATTTATTCTCTCAAATATATTATTTAAAAAAAAAATAAAATTTGTTTTTTTTTTTCCCATCATGCATGTTTGGTTATATCATTCATTTATTCCCATAAAAGAAAAACTTAAAAGAACAGAATTTTTATACAAATTGGGTTATGCAACTGGCAATACGCAAAACCCGACAAATTGCATAACTCAAAAAAGTAAGGCGAACAGAAAAAATCGAAAAAATTCAAAAATCCTTAAAAATTGTGGTTATGCAACTGGCAATACGCGATAATACGACAAATTGCATAACTCAAAAAAGTAAGGCGGACGAAAAAATATCAAGAAAAATGAGTGAAAAATTGGCTTCGAGTATCAGTAAAACATAATATTTAGGAGGTCTCAATTTTTCGATAGTTTCGCTTCGCTTCAACGCCTTGCATTTAGAGTATATGCAATTTTCAGTACAATTTTTAACCAATGGCGTGCTTTGTATACATAACGAGAAATTAATGGCGCTCGCCATTCTTACTCGTGATTGGTCAGAAAAAAAATCACATATTTTTCATGTTTAACTTATGTATTAATAGGAATAAAATTTAAATTATGAAATAACTATGTTTTAAAGCAAAATTGTGTATATGTATATATTAAATGTGACCAAGGATGGAGAAACGAATTTAAAATAAAAAAAAATAATAATAATAAGGATAATAAATAAATTTTATTTAATTTTTATTTATTTATTTATTTATTATTATTATTATTATGTAAAAATATTTATTCGTGGCCGTATTATAAAAGCATGTTCGGTTGTTCATCTCGTTGTGTGTTATGTTCGGTTCGTTCTTTATATTATAAGTCGCAAATTAATACTAAAATTAATTTACAGTTTATTTCTTGTGACGTGTTAAATGCTCAGCATAGACTTTTTCACAAAATAAAAGTAAAGGTTATTTTAACTCGCGAACAAACACTTAGAAACTATCACTAAACCAAAACTAAAATTAAAGAAACGGATAAGAATTCAATATAACAAACAAGTATCGAAAGAACGCGTGCAAAGCTGTGAAGCTTCCCTTTATAACCTCAATTTTTCATTAGTCAATTGTTTCGAATGTCCAACAATCTAAACGAGCAAATACTTGCAAATAAAACAAAAGAAAGAGTTTCTAGAAGCTTCGCTTCTAAAGAAGAACAATTTGAGTTCATCATTAGTCTTTTGTTTATAAAAAAATTGAAAAATGTGAACATTGAGTGCGGGATCATAACAATATATATATATTTACAAGGCCAAAACTGTATTCTATTACTGGAACAGCTAATGTGCCAATGGAGTTTAACTTATTTCTTCCATTCAGTTCCGACTGTAATATGAGCCTCAATCTTTTAAAATATTCTTTCTTTAATCGAGGTTTAATTTCCTTGTTGGCTACCCCAAAATTTTCTTCAATCCCCAGATATTTGTATGTTGATCCAGGGTCCAGTTCTTCAATAAGTTCTTCTTCGGAGTCTTCTATATTTTCCTTCCGTTTTAACTTTCCACTGACAATATTAACTCTGGCACATTTTTCCAAACCAAATTTCAAGTTGATGTCAGAGGAAAAAGTTTGAACCGTCCTTAGCATTTTATTTAACTCCTCTTCATTTTTTGCATAAATTTTTAAGTCATCCATATACAGCATATGGGTGATTTTCCTGCCTCCCGGTACCAACTCATATCCTTCAGTCGCAGGAGTATAACTCCCATTTAGCCTCAACCTCAACCCTTCTCTCAAAGCTGGAATCATCAGATCGGAACTCGTAAAGGTGAGAGCAGATTCCCCTCTGGCATAGGCTGTTGCAGAGATCTGCTCCACCCAATTGGGATACTCCCCTCAACCATGTGAGAGGCATTCCTGAGGTATCACTTTCAGTCCTGCCTCCCATAATTACACATGTACATATACATACATAATATAATACAGTATTCATGTTAGAGGGAATTCATATTCAGATAAATGAGAAACATTTGATCTTTCTGCGACTATCCTACGATAATCCCAACAGTGAAAATTTCTTTCGTCTAATTGAAGATATTTTGTGCAAAGGTTTAATTCTTTGTTCCAATCAGGTTTGGGTAAATTGTCCAATATCCATATTCTATGATGCCAACTACCATAGGATTTTGGATTTACTCTCAGGCACTGTTCTGTCAATTGTAAATCTTTTTCCAATAGTTTTTGATAACTTTCCAAATCCTCGTCGTTTTTAAACGACAAAAATATTTCTCTTCTATAATTCCATAATGTTATTATATCCGGATTTCCTGTTATTAAATTACCAGTGAGATTTAAACCTTCTTCGAAGAACGTTTTTCTGAATGAATTTTTTAATGAATATTTGATTCATTATTTTTTAAATTCTATTGCCTTTTTCTGTTTCTCTTGCCTTGCGATGTCTTTTTCTTCTTCTGTCGTTCTTATTTTGACTCTCCCGTGCATTTTGTAATTTCTTTAAAAACAAATTTTACGATTTTTTTTTGAAATTAATACAGGAAAAATAACTCTCAATGGGAAATAGTAAAAATAATAGTAATATATGTAAACAACCATAGACATCAATTTAAACTTAATTATATCGATGGTAAATAAAGTGTCATTAGAAAAATGTATTTCACTTTTACGTGGAACTTATAAAAATATGGAAGCTTTTAACGTAGCCAATACATGAATATTCAGTACCAAAATTTAAAAGCAATATATATATATATATATATATATATATATATATATATATATATTGCTTTTAAATTTTTATTGTTAATATATTTTTTTATTGGTACTGAATGTTATGGAAGGAACAAAGTAATAACATACCAAAAGTTCATGTTTGTACATAAACGTAAACGTACTCAAAAAAATGGACAAACTATCTCTTAGTAAAATGCGAAATTACTTACTGGCCAACACAATAATTTACATAAAACAAATTATTTAACGAAAATATTCATGTATTGGCTACGTTAAAAGCTTCCATATTTTTATAAGTTCCATGTTAAAGTGAAATACATTTTTCTAATGACACTTTATTTACCATCGGTATAATTAAGTTTAAATTGATGTCTATGGTTGTTTACATATATTACTATTATTTTTACTATTTCCCATTGTGAGTTATTTTTCCTGTAATAATTTCAAAAAAAAATCGTAAAGTTTGTTTTTAAAGAAATTACAAAATGCACGGGAGAGTCAAAATAAGAACGACAGAAGAAGAAAAAGACATCGCAAGGCAAGAGAAACAGAAAAAGGCAATAGAATTTAAAAAATAATGAATCAAATATTCATTAAAAAATTCATTCAGAAAAACGTTCTTCACAAATTCACGACGAAGAAGGTTTAAATCTCACTGGTAATTTAATAACAGGAAATCCGGATATAATAACATTATGGAATTATAGAAGAGAAATATTTTTGTCGTTTAAAAACGACGAGGATTTGGAAAGTTATCAAAAACTATTGGAAAAAGATTTACAATTGACAGAACAGGGGAGTATCCCAATTGGGTGGAGCAGATCTCTGCAACAGCCTATGCCAGAGGGGAATCTGCTCTCACCTTTACGAGTTCCGATCTGATGATTCCAGCTTTGAGAGAAGGGTTGAGGTTGAGACTGAAATGGGAGTTATACTCCTGCGACTGAAGGATATGAGTTGGTACCGGGAGGCAGGAAAATCACCCATATGCTGTGTATGGATGACTTAAAAATTTATGCAAAAAATGAAGAGGAGTTAAATAAAATGCTAAGGACGGTTCAAACTTTTTCCTCTGACATCAACTTGAAATTTGGTTTGGAAAAATGTGCCAGAGTTAATATTGTCAGTGGAAAGTTAAAACGGAAGGAAAATATAGAAGACTCCGAAGAAGAACTTATTGAAGAACTGGACCCTGGATCAACATACAAATATCTGGGGATTGAAGAAAATTTTGGGGTAGCCAACAAGGAAATTAAACCTCGATTAAAGAAAGAATATTTTAAAAGATTGAGGCTCATATTACAGTCGGAACTGAATGGAAGAAATAAGTTAAACTCCATTGGCACATTAGCTGTTCCAGTAATAGAATACAGTTTTGGCCTTGTAAATATATATATATTGTTATGATCCCGCACTCAATGTTCACATTTTTCAATTTTTTTATAAACAAAAGACTAATGATGAACTCAAATTGTTCTTCTTTAGAAGCGAAGCTTCTAGAAACTCTTTCTTTTGTTTTATTTGCAAGTATTTGCTCGTTTAGATTGTTGGACATTCGAAACAATTGACTAATGAAAAATTGAGGTTATAAAGGGAAGCTTCACAGCTTTGCACGCGTTCTTTCGATACTTGTTTGTTATATTGAATTCTTATCCGTTTCTTTAATTTTAGTTTTGGTTTAGTGATAGTTTCTAAGTGTTTGTTCGCGAGTTAAAATAACCTTTACTTTTATTTTGTGAAAAAGTCTATGCTGAGCATTTAACACGTCACAAGAAATAAACTGTAAATTAATTTTAGTATTAATTTGCGACTTATAATATAAAGAACGAACCGAACATAACACACAACGAGATGAACAACCGAACATGCTTTTATAATACGGCCACGAATAAATATTTTTACATAATAATAATAATAATAAATAAATAAATAAATAAAAATTAAATAAAATTTATTTATTATCCTTATTATTATTATTTTTTTTTATTTTAAATTCGTTTCTCCATCCTTGGTCACATTTAATATATACATATACACAATTTTGCTTTAAAACATAGTTATTTCATAATTTAAATTTTATTCCTATTAATACATAAGTTAAACATGAAAAATATGTGATTTTTTTTCTGACCAATCACGAGTAAGAATGGCGAGCGCCATTAATTTCTCGTTATGTATACAAAGCACGCCATTGGTTAAAAATTGTACTGAAAATTGCATATACTCTAAATGCAAGGCGTTGAAGGGAAGCGAAACTATCGAAAAATTGAGACCTCCTAAATATTATGTTTTACTGATACTTGAAGCCAATTTTTCACTCATTTTTCTTGATATTTTTTCGTCCGCCTTACTTTTTTGAGTTATGCAATTTGTCGTATTATCGCGTATTGCCAGTTGCATAACCACAATTTTTAAGGATTTTTGAATTTTTTCGATTTTTTCTGTTCGCCTTACTTTTTTGAGTTATGCAATTTGTCGGGTTTTGCGTATTGCCAGTTGCATAACCCAATTTGTATAAAAATTTCTTCTAAGTTTTTATTTTATGGGAATAAATGAATGATATAACCATACATGCATGATGGAAAAAAAAAAAAAAACAAATTTTATTTTTTTTTTAAATAATATATTTGAGAGAATAAATACATATATTGTAATACAGAGAATAAATACAAATATTATTATTATTATTATTATCATCATTATAAATTTGAAAAAAAAAAAACGGAAAACTTAATAATCGTTTGTGGCAAATTTAGTAGTTTATGTGTCACGATTAAGAAAAATATACATACATATATTTTATACATATATATGTATATAATATAAATGTGGCCAAATATAAATCAAACGTTCAATCATCACTCAAAATTTAATTACAGGTTTAAAACGAGGTTTCTTCTATGACGACAAACAACCGAACCTGATTTTTTCTAATTATTCCTCTTTCTCGCCTTTTCCTCCCTCCCTCCTCTTCTTGCCTTCCCGCTTTTTCGTACATTTTTCCAAAACGAAATCGTAGCCCTTATTTAAATTATTTGAAAATATAACAGAAATGTTTTTGTCAAGTTGTTTTGCACCTCTCCTCTCCTCTCCAAAAGGTAGACATCATCTTGTTTCGCTGTCTGATACTGTCACTACTGAATGTACCGGCTCGTCTTTACTGGTCCTTTCCTAAATGAAAGAAAAAAAAAAATAATAACAATTAGTAAAGACAAATGTAAAAAGTTTATAAAAATTTTCTGTTGTTTCATCCGCGTTCTACCTACTTACCATCGAGTAAAAACGCACGTATTTTTTCTCTCTCTCTCTCTCATTTTCACCTTTTCTCCACTCATCAATCTTGCAAAAAAGAAATCGTGAATTTAAATATTATCGTTCTAACCCTAAAAGGAAACTTTTTTATTTGGAATATTTCGGACGAGAAAAACTACAAAAAAAAAAACGTTTCGGATGATATCGTCGCGTTAAAATCATCGTACAATTAGCAGACGATGTCTTAAAAAAATTTTTCTACGCGAGAAAATGTGTGTGAGTGAGTGCGTGCGTGAAACACATAAAGACCGTTCGAACAAATTCGCTTCCTCGTTGTAAACTCTTTTTTTTTTCCAGCAGAATTTCTTCTCCTTCTTCTTTTTCCACCCTCTTTTTATGACCAAAGTTTACCATCGTTTCCGAGTAATTTTTACACCGGTCTGATTGTTTTGCTCTTGTTGGAAAATGTTTTGCCAATCGATTGTTAACTTGTAACTCTTCAGAGAGAGAGAGAGAGAGATAGAGAGAGAAAGATGTCCAGAGGTCATTTATTTTCTTTTATAAAGAGAAGGTGGTTACAAAAAAAAAAAAATCCGTTTATCTTCTTGGCGTTGGCCACAAGCTCTCCATTTTTTCGCCACCCGTAGGATCGGTAGCTCTCGCTTCCAGTTTCCGAACAGCAGCCAAGACTACAGGCATCCCATTCTTTATCGTTTTGGCGCAACTCCCTTTTAAGTTCGCGCTACCCCGAGTGACAGTGAGAATACAGCGCGCTGCGTTCTCCGCCGCCTCGAGGTTGTTCCCCTTGCCCAGGGGAGCCATGTCTCCAGCCCGAATATGGGGGAGGCGAAATCGCCTCCTCGGCAGCAGCCTCTTTTTCTCTTTGCCCAGCCGACTGCAGAAGAAGCAACGCCTCCTCCTCTCCCTTTTCTCTTATCCATCTTAGGACGCCCCCTAGTCCTCGAGGACACTAATATTCCTCTTAAGTTTTCCCCCAGCCGATTCAAGTCACCCTTAGCATTCTCTGTCAAAATTTTAGGATTACCAAGCGACATCATCAAATTCATTAAGTAAAAAAAAAAAAAAACTCATTAAATCTTTGTCTGTTATCCTACATTTAATGCCATTTCATTTTCAAATGCTACTTTTTTAGTATCTATGAACGCCATTTTTTTTTTACTTATTTTCCTGCATACATTAATAAAAAAGAGGCACACCCACCGTTAAATACGGTTTAAAATAAGAAAAAAAGTATGTAAAAAACAAAACACAATTATTAATCAATTTAATGCTGGTTTAATAACTCCCCATTAAAATATTGAGTTGGCCAATAAGTAACTACGGATTTTACCAACAGATAGTTAGTTCATGTTTTCGAGACTTTTACGTTTTTGCACAGACATGAACTTTTGATATCTCATTATTTGGTTCCTTCTGTAACATTCAGTACCAAAATTTCATTCAACTCTTAAATTTTACGCAAGCCAATAAAAAGTTGTGGGCCGTGTAGGGGGGATGAAGAACCTTTATAGAACGGCATGAGAGATGAAAAGTGGGTTGTCAATGATGACTTTTTGAAGAAAAGATCCTGGTCTATGCAAGGGAAACAGGTACCAACAACTTCTAAGGCTTTTCGTAGGATTACAAAGGCATAGTCAACTTCGAGCTGCCACGAAATCAGACAACAAATTCAGAGGTTTACATTGGACAATAGACTAATTTAAATAATACCATCTAAGAAAAACGACCGGAGCTAGCCAATAGAAAAGGAATTGTTTTTCACCACGATAATGCAAGTCCTCACACATCTTTAGCCACTGGACAAAAACTACTGGAGCTAGGCTGGAATGTTTTGCCTTCACCCTCCTTATAGTCCCGACCTAACTCGAAGTGAGAATCATTTTTTCCGATCACTAAAAAATTTTTCGAACGGACAAAAATTCCAAAACGACAATGAAGTCAAAACTGCATTGGAGCAGTTTTTTGCTCCTAAAAATAAAGAGTTTTATGAAACATGGGAAAATGATACTACCCGAAAAATGGCAAAAGGTCATTGATAATAATGAACATAATATAATAGATAAAAATAATTTGACATAATTAATAAATCGTTTTTTGTTTTCTTAAAAAAATTCGTAATTACCTTTATGCCAACCCAATATTTAATTAAACTCTTGTAAGGTATCTTTACATCAACAAGTTTCGATTACGTTTGGTAAATTCTTATAAAAGCAATTTCCTTGTTTCCTTGAAACATTCGAACTCTGCCACCAGAAACTTTTTTTAACTTATATACTTTCCCATAGGTTAGAAAAATATTTGAAAAAATGATAAGGATAATATTTTTGTAATATTAATAAACTTTTCAGTGATAAAAAAAATTTATTTTATTTGTTGAATAATACCTGAAAACAAAAAGAAAATTTTTTTTTTTTTTTAAACATCAACTTAAAATCAAATCAAAAAATAACTAAAAATGAATTATAATTAATGGAATGATTTTTTATTGAGGTTATCTCCTCACAGCAAATAATAATTCCCCAAATGCTTTATAATCAAATTTTCCTTTTTGAAAAATTTCATAAGCATTGTATTGGGTGGATGGGATGCTAACCCCTACCTAAGCAAATTGTTGAGATTTGCAAATTAAAAAAAAAAAAATTTTTTTCTCTTTGCCATTAAAAATAATTACAATGTTATTAACAATATTTATTTAAACACTCGGCAAAATAATTTAATCATAGTTTTTTTTTTTTATTAAACAATAAAAAAAAAAAAAATCTCATTTAATATGTTTAATCTATTGCCATCTCAACAATTTACTTTAAGACTCACCAGTTCATTCGTCAGGAATTTCAATTTCGCCACCATTTATTTGATCAATGACATCATGTGGAGGTCTTCCTTCGACTGTGCAACCAACAGACTAAGGAAAAATAAAAAAATAAAATCTCGATAATTGAAATAAAAATTTTAAACAATAGTTAAATAAAAAAAAACTTGAAAGAATATTTTTTTTTTTTGAAATTACCTGACAAGTTCCTAAAATTTCTTTTACCGTTCCTTCTAATTTCCTTGACATTGATCTAGGCCTCATGGTTTTAGCTATTTGAACTATTTCATCAAATGATAAATTACCATTATGTTTAATGTTCTTAACTTTTTTCCTATCTCTTGGTGGTTCTTTAAGGGCTTTGATGATGAGAGAAGCTGCAGATGGTACAACACTAATTGTGGCTTGCCTATTTTGAATTGTCAAACAAACTGTAATCTTTAAACCTTTCCAGTCAGCTGTAGCTTTAGCAATGTCATCTCCTACTTTTTTAGGGGACTACACAGAAAAAAGAACATAAAGTTATTATTCCGTTTACTGCTTACTTTGCGTAAAACTATAAAAAAAGATAAAAAAAAACTTACCAAACCGAGGGGACCAATTTTAGGAGCCAAAGATGATGTAGCACCAACTTCTCCTCCAACACATTTTAAATATACTGAAAACAACGTTACACATGTTTAGTGTTTGAATAACATTAATTAAAATTTTAATAAGGTAACAACATTCTACATTAAATTTCAAAAATTATATAACATTGTAAATAATTTAAATATGTATCATTAATAAAGATACGTATAAATCATTTAATAAAATTTAATAATATGTATTAACCATCTCAGCAGGGCGAGTGTATTGCAAGCTGATTTATAAAATTAATGAAACTTATATTTGTAATAAGTCTTACCAGTTTTGACTTCAGTCGGATCAAATTTTGGAGGCATTTTATTGTGTTTTTATATGTACACTAATTAATGTGAAGAAATAACTAAGATGGATGTGGATTATTTCCACAATCCTTTCCACAATTGCAGATACACACGTACACGAAGAAATCTGCGGTATCAGTACTGCCAACAAAATCTTCTATACACAATAAATTGTCAATTTACTCTATGATATTAGTCGAAACTAATATTAATAGTTTCATTATAGTATGAAACAAAGTAGTAATTTATTTTTTGGGTATTGATTATTTTAAAACAATTAGGTTTGCTCAAAGAAATAGTAATACTAAGTATAATTCTTATTTTTTTTTCCGTTTAAATTTATTATGTACTGAAAAAAAATAGATAAAAAAAGCAATGGATGAATCAACCGATATAGTTAGACTGCCAGTAAATTCAGAACAACACAGGTTATTATTTACTTAATAAAATAAATCTTCTTCTCTTGATTTATTATAATGAAAAAATTAAATTTTCCTTTTTTCTTTAGGTTTAATTCATGGGAAGTAAAATATACCAAAAGTCACATATTAAGTTCGCAGTGTACGCAAAATGGAACTTGTAAACCTGGAACGACCGGCAATGATGAGCTTTGCTTGTTTTGTATGTACACTCACAAGTTAGATTTACCTCATCTTCCGGACATGGTTTTTCCTTGTAATAAATTACAATTGACTCACGATTCAGGATGTAAAATTGAATTTAACGCATTGGATTCATTATCAAGAGTTAGTAATGGTAAAATGGTTGTCAAAATAGCTTCCTCTGCATCTTGGAAAGAATCAAGGTCTTTAATAAAATTATAACAATAATAATTCAAAATTAATCATTTAATGATTAAAAATGTGAAAATTATTTTATCAGGTCGGAAACGGGACACACTGAATCAGTTATAAAACCTTTCGACTGGACATTCAGTACAGATTATCAGGGTACGCTTTTAGGCGATTGGAAAATAGAGCCGACAAATGTAAAAATCGATTTAAATAAATTAATGCAAAAGGAAAAAATATTATTTTACAATGACTTAACATTATTTGAAGATGAACTTCATGATAATGGAACTGCACTACTATCAGTTAAAATTGTAAATAACAAAATTTATTTTTTATTAACAATCATGTTCATTCGAAAACACACATAAAAAAAAAACATTTTTTTAAAAATTTAATTACAGAGAGTTATGCCAACTTGTTTTTTTATACTATTAAGATTCTTTTTAAGGGTAGATAATGTACTTATTAAAATAAATGATACAAGATTATATCATGAATTTGAAAACAATTACATAATTAGAGAATACACTGCAAGGGAAGCCAAAATAGATGAACTTAAGGTAATTATTATTAATTTAAAAATGAAAAAAACTTACCCATTGATTACTTTGTTTCCGGAAATTTCTTTATCGTTAATATATATCCTTTTAGGTTCCATCTACTTTACTATTGGATCCAAATGAAATTTGTAGGCATTTACCTCTTATTAAAGAATCAAATCATAAACTTTTGATTCCTGATTGTGAAATGAAACCATCAGTAGAAGAATAAAAAAAAAAAAAAAAAAAAATATGTAAAAGTATTTGTTTGTAAAATTTGCACAATTTTTTTTTTTGTAATTTCTCATTATTGTGTACTTTATATATAATTGTCATTATTTATTTATTATAAATAATATTGAAAAAGAAATTTATTTTGTACAAAAATTATACTTACATTTATTTATTTATTTTTTTCTCTCCCTTTTTAATAAAATGATAAAATGGTAGAAATTATTTTTAGAGAAGATTGTATTTCCGTAACCGGTGACAATTTTACAATAAGTTCTTTCAAATTGTCTAAATTTTTATTTACATCCCTATTTATCCTTTTATAATCCCAATGAGGATAAACATTCAAATCCGTAAAATTATCATTATCGTGAGATGAATTTTCCTTAAACTTTTTATAACTTTTATAAATGTCTCTTAATCTGTAAATGTATAAATATGATCGTATCATTTCCAAACATAGTTGAAATCCCAATTCTCCATATTCTTCTTTTATTATTATCATCATTATTTTTTTATTAAAAAGACTAAAATCCTCGACGTGATTTTCATTTTCGTAATATTTTAATATTCTTAATATTTCTTCGTCGTTTGTCATTTCTCCTGGTGTCACATCCAAATCGTTGACGTCATCTAATAAAACCGATCCTAAAAACAAAAAAAATTTAATTATTTTTCGAAAAAAGATTAAATTGAAAAAAAAAAAAAAAATGACGAACCGAATCGTTCAAGTAATTGATGACATATTTCAGGTTTGTTTTCTTTCACGGCGCACATGATCGGTGTTAAACCTTCTGGACCTTTCGCTCTGACGTCAACAGATTTTTGATTTTCATTCAAAGGAATAAAATTAATAATTTCATGGACGCAATTTGAATTTCCTAATCGACAAGCGATATGAAGAGCCGTCCAACCATTACGATCAATCGCATTCAAATCCAATTCGGGAAAAGTTAATAAACTTTTTATTTCCTCAACGTTATTTATTTCGCATGCCAAATGAAGAAAAGTTTTACCTAAATTTAATATTATTGCACTTAAAATAATAATAATATTAATGATAATTTATCAAAAATAATAACCTTTTCGTTTTAAATTTATATTTTTATATTTTTTTAATCTTTCGATTATTTTTGAACTCGATTTTAATTTTTTTATATTTTTATACTTTGATTTAGAATTTTCCGGATTGGAATTTTTCGACGACAAATATTCCAACAACTCGTGCTGAAAACAAAAAAAAATTTATTAAAAATTATGGAAGTGGGGGGGAGGGGGAAAGGAAAGAATTTTTTTTTCTAATCAATAATACCATCGCCGTGAGTTTGATTGGACATAAAAATCCTGTTAAGCAATTTATCAAATGCGTGCACAAAAGAAGACGAAGCCAAGAAGGTTTCAAACATTGAATCCATTCGATAATAATTAAATATTCATTTTCGTTTTTTAAATTTTGTAAAGCTGAAAAACATTTCATTTTTTTTTTTTTTTTATAAATTCATATCCAATTCTATCAGGCAATAATAAGTTTTAGTTTTTTTTTTTTTTTTAAAAATGAATTACCGTCATAAAAATTAATTGCTAATTCTTTGGCAAATTCGTTTGATTTTATACCTAAATATGGATAAATTAATTCTTGATCTCTATCGCAGAATCTTATATTTTCAGCTAATAAATTAACTAATTTCTAAAAAAGAAAAAAATTTATTAAATTATTAAGAAATCACAAGATTTTGAGTCGAACATCACACAAAAAAATTTCTTCGACATTTTTTAATTAAATACCTGAATGACATCAAATAGTGTAAAATATTTTTCTTTTAATTTAAAACCATGAATAAAAATTTTTAATATTTTAGAAACGTTTTTATTTATAAAACCTGTAAAAAAAATTTTTTTTTAATTAGTTTATATAATAATATTTATAAACGAAATTATAATTTTTCAAACTTACCTAAATTTTCATCTTCTGGCCACAACATATGAGAAATCAATGACCTCCTTTTTTTTTTAGAATTATAAAATTTGTGTTCTTCAGATGATAACCAATAACTGAATTCAGTTTCGAAGACATTATAAGTAAAATTTAAAGCAATCAAACATTTATTAAATTTATCACTCCAGTCAAGATCTTCAAAATATCTGTCAATTGATTACAGATGACAATGACACATGTAATTTTATTAAATAAAGTATATAAAACAACTTTCATTTTAAAAATAATATTGATTCAAATCGATAAATACAATACATAATAAATACTTTTGTAAATAAGTTTCATTTCAAATCTTTTAAAATGTTAATATCGATAAATTACCTTTTTTTTGCAATCGATTTCGATTTGGTCGTCAAATTTATTACTTCACCATGTAAATCCTCAGAATGATTTTCCAAAGTATCATTACACATTTTTAAATTTAAATTATCATAATCTGTAACAAATAATTATATACATAATTTTATTTTTTAATAAGAAAAGTATTATTTCTTAGTACTATGATTAAAGTGAGTCGAAAAAAAATTTTTCAGATTCATAAAACAAAATTTATGGATAAAAAAAACTTACTTTTTAAACAATCCATCAAAGTATTTAAAATGAATACAAAGAGGCCATTTTTTTCTGTATTTTTTTCATTTAACTAAAACGAAGATAATTGAAATAGCTTAAAATAAATTAAGTAATAAATTCGGAGACCTTTTTTTTTTGCTATTGTAATCGATTCTTACCATAATGTAAGGTTTTGATAAAATTAACTTATAATAATCAAACATAGCATTTGTAGGAGGATTAAAAAGTACAAGTTTAAAAAACAATTCTTCAAGTAAGCTGATGTCACCATCTGAATCGGCTTTCTAAAAAGTAAATACAAATACAAAATATTCACATTTATAAATACAATACGATTTAAAGAATTGCAATTTACAATTAGCTTTACCATCAAATAATTCATGAATTCCTTCATAATTAACAATGTTGGAAATTTTTTATTAGATAGATCATTAATAACAGTCAAAAGAGATTTATTCCAAAGATCTGAACCTAATTCACAAAAAGCTGTTTTCACTGACTGTTCTGTTGGTCGAAACTCCTGAAAATAATAAAGAGTAATCAGTTTTAAATAAATCATAAAATAATTGATAACAATTACAAAAAAAATTTAAAATTTACAGAATTTGTAAATATATGTTTATGTAAGTTATTAAATTTAAAAAAATGCTGAAATTCTACATCACAATATTTAAAAAGAACTTTATTAACAATTGGAACAATATCTTCCCAAGAAGATACGACGTTACACATTTTAATTGATTAGTTTTTAATACGTTGTCTTATAAAGAAAACATTTGAACACTAAAGCATTAAAAATTTATCTTTCAAAACAGGTTAAATATTTTTTTTTTCAATTTCATAGCAAATTTATGTGAAAATAAAAAAATTAACTCACGCACTTGAAAAAAGCCCGGGAATAAAACTGAAAATATTAATTTCGTACTTATCGGTTCGTTCGATATTTACTTCGATATCGTTCGATATATTTATATCGAACAATTAAATATGGCATTCTCTTTTAAAAATTTAACTATAGCTAATGCGGTTGGGTTAGTGTCTTGTTACGGAATATTTTATTTTCATCAAAGAAAACTTACTGAATCAATTAAAAATTCACAAATTTACAAGGAAGCAATTGAAATTGCTCGTAATCACAAAGGTGCTTTACATGTATTAGGAGATCCCATAGAAGATTATAAAGTCACATTAAATAGATCTTTTTTTTTTAATGGATCAGTTGAATTAGAAGTAGACCTTAAGGGTTCAAAAAGTTTTGGTAAAGCTTTTATTCAAGCAGTAGGAGAAAATGAATCTTCATTAAAATTAGACTCAATATATTTACAACAAGGAAACGATAAATCTAAATTGTTAGTTTTAAGGGAAACATCTAGGAAAAATAATGATGATTCTGAAAAAAAATAATTTTTAAAAATAACTTATTATTGAAGTATTATAGATAATTAATTTAAGAATATAGAAATTAATTTTTGTAAATTTCTCTATTTAATGACTCCTCTTAAACTAACCTCCAAAGACCTCAATATGTTTTATTCGAACAAAAAATATTTTAATGAACAGGATTCGACATGAGAAAACAATACAAAACAATTGTAATATTAACAATATAAGTGTATATAATAAAGCCAAATAATACCTAAATTTACTTATTATTTTTTGAGCACACAAAAATGATCAATGATAAAGAAATTGAAATTAAGTATTTATGCCCCTTCATAATACATCTATTAAAGCACTTAATCCTATTTCAATCATTATACATTTGAAACTTACAAATTAACTTTAAATGACTAAAAATCATAAAGTCATAAATTCAACATTTACATTGAGGTAATAATTTAAATTATTTTACAATCAAAACAATAATTTTAATACTAATTACAGAACAAGTATTGATATTTTTTTTTAAAACTAACAAATTGCATAGAAAATTTATTCTCAATAAAAGACGATAAAAAATTTTATAAATCCATTATTAACTTGATACTTAAATAATTAAAAATTTATTTATATCTATTGGGTTTTTTAATTAATTGAAAAACAATTTATTAGATTAATTAATTTCAATAAGTTTTAGCCTAATTACGAGTGACATAAATTTAATTTTCATAAAAAGTACTTGTGTAGCCTAAAAATCGATTTTGTTTTTGTTTTGCGAGTACAGCATTTTTTTTTTTTCCTTACAATACAATTTTTTAACAAATTTACAATAAAAATAAAACAAAAATTATATTAATAATAGCATTAATACCCTTTAGTGTATTGATTTAATGGCAATAATAATAATAATAATAATAATAATAATTAGCACATTTAATGGCCACTTCATTAAAAAATAATTTTTTTCATTAAAAATAATTTATAGTAACTTATTGATAGTAGGATATATATTTAACATTCTCTTTATATTAAAAAAATAATTAATATTTAAATTGTCTTTTTTCCTTTTTTCTTTTTTTTTACATATGTAAATGTTGTAAATATTTTATATATTTTAAAAAAAAATGAATTCTCGTCTTTTTATGTAAACCATTAAAAAATTGTACATAATATTTTATTAATTGGAATAACATTAAATGATACAAATAACAAATGGGAAATATTATTAAAAAAAATAAATTTATAATAATCTACAACCATTTTAATCAGTGTGTGATTGATTTACTTTAATCCCCTTTAACAGATGCGGCAATTTTAGTCGCTAAAATATATAAGTAAAAAAAAAGAATTAAAAATGATAAAAAAGTTTTAATTGTATTAATTTTATTTATTGATAAAATTTTACCTTTAGATATTCCTTTGTTAGCAAGGTCACCCAACACACTATCAACTGATGACTGATGCTTTAAAAAATATGGACGAATATAGTTATTATATAAGAAAATTGAACCATTGAGTGGAAGTGGTAAAAAGCACCACAACAAGAAAAAGCACTAAAATAAAGAATTAAAAAAATTTTTTTATTAAATAAATACATTCTTTTTTTTTTAAATCTAAAAAAGAGGAAAACATTCAAATTAAAATTATTATGACATTTCAATTTAAAAATAATGAAAAAAAAAAAAATTATTGTTAATTTTTTTTAAACACAATTTTAAAAAAATGAAAAAATTGTTATATAAATTATTAATAGAGAGATTTTTTTCTTTTTCGAAGAGGTGGAATTTGTATGTATATATAATTATATTTAAAAAGTAAATCTTGATAAACTTAAAAATTTGCAGATTTTTTTTTTTTTAAATATCCTTGAATTAACAAGCGTTGTATAATTATTGAGCCATTATGCTCTAGGGGAGCCATACACCAAATCACAATCAGGGTCTATAAAAAGGACAAATTAATAATAATATTAATTATTATTTTAAATTTAGTTGATTTTTCATAAACTTTATCAAAGTTATTTCATTCGCACATTTTGTCGGCACACGAGACTCAACTCTGATAATAACTCGAGCACACGAGAACATATAAATACATTTAAGGAAGATGAACAATATGAAAGAGAGAATATTTACCTTTAAAAGCCAATAAACAGGTATCCAGTTACAAATAACATTGGAAAAATATTCTGCAATTGAAAAAGTTGAAAAAACGACCCAATAAGTTAACCATTTAGTATCATCATCTTTTTGAGGCGATTCAACAGCTTTCATTGAACAATATGCTGGGTAACCAAATCCTATCAAGTTGCATAACAGCTGTGGTCCATAACCGAAAACTAAATAAAACGCAATAAATGCGACCAAACCTGAAATAAATCAAAATTATATTATTAATTAAATTACAAATAAATTTTTTTACTCCATATTTTTTTTTTTTTTTCGATAACTCAACATAAAAAAACAGGAACCAAATCAACACGTTGCCAAAATCAAATGAAAAAAATTTAAAAAAAAAAAATACATATTTTTATAAAATATTGTTTTTTTTGTTTTTTAATTTTAAATTATAAATTTATTGACATTTATTTGTTTAATAGTTTAAATTTTTTGCAAAAAAAATTTTTTCTTAAAAAAAAAGGTTAGTGATTTTTTTTTTTTTTTTTTTTTTTGTACGTACCAACAAATATATTAAATCTTTTCATGTTCGTTTTTTCTTCAACCATTTGAAAATATTTTGTCCACGGATGTTTTTCATCGTATAATGATTTTTCAATTGCATCTCTAACAGAACTTATTCGAGACGACATTTTAATTTAATTATTGAATTTAGAATTTGGATTTTACACGCCTCTCTTCAACCGTTGGCAGTTAGTACAAGTCATTCATGCCAAGCAAACATAAATCAAGTCATAGAGTAAATAACTTGTTTGATGTAATAGAGTCTCATTATTTTTTATTTTTTTAAAATAAATTTCAAATAGTTATTAGTATTATGCAATGAAAATAAAATATATATAAATTTTCAAATTGTTTGTTTGTTAAATAAAAAATATAATAACAATATAACAGTTTATAAAAAAAAAAAAAAAAAACAGTAGTAAGAATAATAAATAAATTAAGTATTATTAGAATTCATATTTATTATAGTCTTTTTTCAAAAATTCCTCACAATCTTTGAGAAGTTCTTCAAAATCCTTAAAGTGACAAAGTTTACTTGCTTCATTTAATATTCCCCATTTATAAGCTTGATGTTCCGAAGAAAGAGTTACAGGTGTGTTTTTGTAAAGGTCTGCTAACCAATATACTACTGTTTTACGAGTTCCATTTGCTGTATACTAAAAAAGATGAGTTTTTTTTTTTTAATAATTAAAACAAAATATTAATTATTTATGTATCATTTTAAAACACTGTTTTAAAAAAAAAAAAATTACTTTATATTTAGATATAATACTACCCTTAGAGTCCTTTGAAAATTCTTATAAATTTTAAGATCATCTTTTTCAAATCCGGCTTCCTCTTTTGTCTCTCTTAATGCAGCTTCCATCTCACTCTCTCCAGGTTCGACATGTCCTAATGAAATCAATCATGAAGAACTCGATTGAATTTATAAAAATAAAAAAGATAATTTTTTTGTTGATTTGATTTACCTTTTGGAGGTGTCCAATGATGAGTTCCATAAGATGCTTGCAGTAGCAAATATTCAAAATTATCACTTATTTTTCTAAATATAATAAAACCGGCAGCTTTTTTTTCCATATTTTTTTTTTTTTTTTATTTTCTTTGTACAATCAAAAATTTACAATTATCGAAATTATCATTAGTTTAAATTTACAAAAGAGAACAAAATTCTATTTACATCCGCAACGAGGCGCTGATGTCAACCTAACTGTTGTCATGTAAACCGCATTCACATAAAAATAAAACAATTATTGATGATTTTTAAAAATTTTAAAAATAAATAAATAAATATAATAAAATAAATAAATTTAAAAAAAAAAAAATTACTATTATTAACGTAAGGAAATAAAATTATTAATCGAATAATTATAATTAATAAACTTTTCGCTTTATTAATTGAAAAATTTTTTTTGTCACTTACAAATGAATATTTAAAACTAACTAATTTTTATTTTAATCATAATAATAAAAAAAAAAAAAAAACTTTTTTTTGAACAAATTATCATCATTATTTATATTATTATTAATTTTTCTATAAAACTGTTGATATATATTTCTTACAAAAAAATTTTTTTCAACTTTAATTATATATTATTTTATTAAACTGTCAATAAAAAAAAAAAAACTATGCTAATAAAATAATTATTATTAATAAAAATAAAAAATTTAATGAAAACATGGTCATCAACAACAACAAAAAAATGTAAACAAATAAAAATATAAACAATACATTTTGTAATAATAATAATAATAATAATTTTAAAAGTAAACAAATCTTATTTTAAAAAAAATATAAATAAATAATTTAAATTTTCAACCGTTTTATTGATTATTAAATAATAATAATTATTTTTTCATATAACCAGAGCTTCAGAACTTGTTCTCGAACATTTTTTTATTTAAACAATAAATTATTTAAACAATTTAATTAGAAACAAAAAAAAATTATAACGGCCTCATAGATATAAACAAAAAAAAAAAAAAATTTGTTATATAATTAATTTTTTTTTTTTTTTTTAAATCATTCCATTATTTACACTTTGATATTTACTATTGCTATCTACACCATTATTATTATTATTATTAATATTATTATTATTGTTTGTTTCCTAATTTTTTTTTTACCTTTCGAATAATTTAAAAACGTAATAATAATAATTTAAATATTATTTGTTTTTAATAAATAAATAAAACAATATAAATAAAAACGAAACAATATATATAACCCCATCGAAATAAATAAATAAATAAATAATTAATAATTTTTTTCTCACGAATAAATAAATAAATAAAATCGTTTAAAAAACATTCGATCTCTATAACATGATTCATAAATTCATCTAATGCAACGCGACTATAATAATAAATAAAAATTATATAATTAACAACTTTTTTTTTTTTTTTTTTTTGGAATAAATATATATATATTGAAAATAACCGAAAACGTATATATGTGCATATATGCACTTTTAAGCATACATACATACATAAAAAAAAAATCTATGTTAGTGCCTACGACGACGACGACGTAAATAAACCTTAAATAAATTAAAATTTTTTTTTTTTTTAATAAATATATATTATTATATCGCATTAATTAAATAAGGCGTATTATATTTTTTTGAATGCATATTATTTGTTTTTATTTAAACATTTGTATTTGCAATTCATTAATTTTGTTTAAATAAATAAATAAATCCAATTATTATTATTATTTTTGTAAAAATAAATTCAACAAAATTAAAATAAATAAATAAATAATCTAATGTTGAACTTTTGTTTGTTTTAAGCATATGCACTGGGAAACCGGAAATGGTTTGTTTTTTTTTTAGGCACAATTTTTTTTGTTGATTATTTGAAAAAAAAAAAAATGAGATGTTAAGTGCAATATCGAATCAGTGCATTTTTTTTTCTCTCTTTTTCTAATTTGTTTATTTTTTTTTTTACAACAAAAATTCATACAAATACTAATAATAATAATAATAATAATTAACTATAGGATGGATATTATCCTTACTGTTATTTTATTTAATTATATACGATATTGTTGTTATGAAAACTTTTTTTTTTTTTTTTTTTATTTCCAATTTGTTTATATTTATATATATTATTTATACATAATTTTATTTTTAATCAAAAAAAAAAAGTACCTACAAATAACAACAACAATTACATTTTTTTTTATTTTTATGCAATTTATTTAAAAGCTATTTTTTTACTTTTTTAATTAATGTAAATATATACGGATTATTACTTAAATCGACTTATTAATTATTGATTTTTAATAATAAAAAAATAAATAAATAGAAAATAAATATCGTGAAAACAAACTCATAAAACCATTTTTTTCAATCGAAAATAAAATTAATAATAATAATATTAGTAGTATTTGATGACCAAATGAAAAAATTAAATTAATTAATTAAATTTGCTAAATAATGACATCGGCAATTATTTATTTATTTATTTATTCTTTATAATAATTTCCTCGATTTATAAAAAAAAAAAAAAAATAAATAAATTTTTATTATTTCTTTTATTTGAACACAACTATTAGCAAAGCTAAAGAATATGTATATATATAAATCAATTGCTTGCTTATTAATTTTAGAATTTTTTATTTATTAAATTTATTATTATTACATTCAATAAATTCATTAAAATAAAAAAAAAAACTAAGTTTTTATGATATTTTTTTTAATTACCCGAAATATTTAGAATCCTTAATAATTTAAAATTAAAAATTATTTAAAAAAGAAAAAAAAACAACTATTATACTTGCTGTTACATTGATCCCAATTTAAATAAAAGAAAAAAACTTACTGATTGTTTCGTCATTTCAAATCAATTTAAACAAAAATTATGTAAATAATAATAATAATAATTATTTTTCAATTAACTAAAAGTTTGTTTATTAAAATTTTCAATAACTTAATAAATAAATAAAAAAACCGTTAAGAATTAAAATTTTCATTAATTCATTTCCACCATTTTACATATAGAAACAAGATGCCAACATAAATACAATAATACGTAACAAAAACAAAACTCACGCATGCGCGCGATCATAGAGTAAATAATTTAATTTTTTCAATTACAAATTTAATAGTGAAAATTATATATAAATAAAATAACCGAAAAAAAAATTTTTTTAAAAACAAAATTATACAATAATAATCAATGATAATAATAATTATAATTTGTTTATTTAATAATTTTTTAAATTAATTATTTCAACTTTGAAAGCAGAAAGAAGAAGGAAAACGTTTTTTTTTTAATTTTTAAAAAATTTTTTTAATAATGAGAATAAAATTTTAACAATTTTCATATATATATATATATAAATATATATATAACTATACTAATTTTTTAAGTATAACCATTTTTAAATATAATTAATCAATCTAAAAATATTTATGTATATATATATATATATA